CCCCAAAACCCCAAAACCCCAAAACCCCAAAACCCCAACATTCTTTTAATTAGCTGAATTCTCTGATATAAGTCTTCTAATTTTATAAATTATAAAACTTCTAGGTAAGAATGGCCGAAACAGGCGAATTATTAGAGATTTACAAAAATGTGACCCTTCCAGATCAAAAACTGTCATAGATCTTTTATAATTCCAATTTTACAACTCCAGAAACACGATAAAATTAACTGAAGCTGCTGAGTGATCTCGGCTCTTACGATTTGCACTGATTTCTAAAAAGGAGGCCCTGAAATGCAAAAGAAATTGTGCTATTTTTATTGAATTCGGTAAGTTCATCAGAGTTCATCTTTATAGTTATTCCAAGTTTTTGTATATCAACTCACACCCAACAATTAGAGAGCTATAGCTAACAGCATATTTAAATCATCCCTCAACCTTGTTTATGATTGGTTAATTCAAAATAAAATAAAGCGATGAAGCTCCAATTACGATATTTTCTACCAAAAAGCGACTCTCTAAAAATACCCGACAATAGACTCTCTGATGATCGAAAAGAGGAGGGAACTTTCTATCTGACTTCTAATCCAGCATAACTCTTCAATATAGCAAGATTTTTGATTTCCTTCAGTAAAGAGCTCCCAAGATATGATTAACACCGAACCCAGTAGCCTAATGAATAGATGCGACCAGATGCAACAGCAGCTTTCCATGCTCCCTATGACCTCTGAGTTAATCTTGCAGCAGGATCCTCCTAGAGAGGAGGGGGAAGAGATTCCCTTTGATATAAGTGACCAATTTTAGCAAATTTCAACTCCAATCAGACTCAGATAACGAAATTGACACTCTCGGAAACACGAGTGACCAAGAACTCTCGGATGATGAAAACCTCACAAGAGCCCCTAAACTCAGAGCAATGAGTCTGTAAGTACCATTAGCTAATAGCTAATATTGGAGAGGCACAGTAAATCTACAATTATTTCTTATAGTGAAAGCCAAGAAGACACTCAAAACTTTATGCTCCCCACTGCAGCTTTGAATACAATGGATAATGATGGAAATATGCTTGATTTTGGAAATTTCAACAGTCAATATACATTGGGTGACCAACTTGGTCAACTTCAAAGGTAAACAATGTCTGTTCACCGTATATCTCAAATTTGCCATAATTTCCGGAGACTCTTCATTGAGATGACTAAGAATCAAGAAGCTGGTCTTTGGAAATTTACTGGAAATCTGCTAACCTAATTTAGTCCTCCTCAAACTCAAGACTACGAATCCCAATTGTTACAATTTCCCAGTGGTATTCCTTCTCAATTACAGTTTGCAAAAAGTGAACAATTAGAAGAAAAACAAGATGAAAAAGAACAGCAAGATTATAATGAACAACTAGAATCATATGAACAATTAGAACAAAATTCTTTAGATCAGCAACAGATTATTATATCAGATAACCAAGGCCAAGCAGAGTTAGAATGCTCGAACTCTGGATGGATTTTGGGTATCCAAACTCCCCAGGAGAATCCAGAAGGAGTTTCCAACCAACCCGGCTACCAACCTCAGACTATTTTAGGTTTCCTGTCCTCTCAAGTTTCAACACCGTTGACATAAGATGGACCTTAGCCAGCACTGTGCTTGGGCTAGGACCCTAGCCCTTCAGCACTTCTCATTGATATTACTCTTTTACATATTCCATAGCTTTTTCTTTTTGTAGTCTTCACCTTATAGGTTATTCTGCTTCAATTATTTATCAAAGCGGCGGGGTTTTGGGGTTTTGGGGTTTTGGGGTTTTGGGG